TCCCTTTCAAGTCCAACACATACACCGCACTGGCCGACATCCTGAACCAGCTTTACACGAGCTCACTTCGGCTCGTTATACTATCTCTTCTGATCAATAAGTGATATTACTCGTTTACAAGAAACATAAAAAATCTGTCTTTTCATTCATAATACTGAGAAGAAGACGATCCTTTCCCTTTTCCGGACATCCGCGGTACACCTTGAGAACGAGCGCCCCCTATAGGACAAGAAGACCTATATCTAGAGCTATACAGAAGGATCATACTGCCGTGCTGTAAACATTTGCTTCTCACTAGTATAATTAAATAGGCTAATATGTTTATATCTCTATCTATACTATTCCTTAGTTTTAATCTACAGCAAGAGATAAATATATGATTTAACCCTTTATAGGGTTCACTCAGTTAAATACTTTGATAATCAAAATTTCAAGCCAATTGGATATTCAGGACAAGACCTTATTACCTTTGTAACATTAAAAAAATATCAATATTTTGAAGGCAAAAATTATTGTTAATGTAATAACAAGAAACGCCAACTTGCCCGAAATTAATGAAAAACACTTTAGAGTGAAAAAAAAACTAATTTTTTGGTACAGCATAACCAGAGGCATTAATGCTGACACTGACACTTACATTTTTCTAGTTTATAAACCTAAATATCATTTTTATCTTTACTTTTTAACTTTTTGAATTCGTTTTTTTTTTTTACCTTTTCTTCTTCACTTGTTTTTTCCAACTTAATTTACAGTAGGTAATATACCATTCAAGGGCTCATCTAATTGGTCAAATGCCAAAATAAGATGTCATGTCACTTCCATGTAGCAGTATTTTTGCTGAATGGCTGGGTATAGATCGTGCTTCTAGACCTCACTGAGTGACTCCATTTGTAAGGGGTATGCAAGTGATCAAAAGCGGTAACTTGCCCTATTAAATGATTAATATGAGACGGCACTGTATGAATGCACTATGATATGAGCTTTGTAGGAGTTGAACTTGCATCCAATGTTTTAATCTTGCAATTTTATCAGCTAATAAATTATGATTCTCTTAACCAAAGCAACTTATCCTCTATCTGTTACTCTTAAACTACGAAGTACTGTAAACACGAGAGGCAGGGTGAAAAGGTCCTCTGAAACTTAAGTACAAGTGTTTTCTTCCAAATGGATCTCAGAATATAAAACTAATTTTAAATCAGTTCTCAAACTACTATGGTGCATGCTGAGCTGGTAAAACAAACCATGATAAGAAATGCTTCCTCTAAAGTTAGACATCGTTAGTCAGTCAATAGATTCTTTGGGAACATGTTTGTGCAGAAACCTTAGAGCTGACAAATGTTGGCATGCTTACTTTGATTGACAAATGTGCCAGTCTGGTGATATCACACAGGTGTTACACAGGGTTAGTCACACGTGGGGATTGCTACAGCACACTGTGAAAATCAGGCAAGCATGATTGTCTTGTGACATGGACTGAGTTCAAGTGTTCATGTGAGCAAAAGTGGATGTGTAGATGTTCCCACTATTGCAAACAAACTGGAGCAGCTTGTGCTCTTCATGAAGGAACTCTAGTCTGTTCCATCATCCCAAATAGTTTGTAATTTATACTTAGCGGGACTGTGAGTCTACTCCCAAGACGATACTGTGGCGTTTGGGAGAGTTTTTACCATAGAAGGCGAAGAGGGTTTAGCAATGATTTCCTGTGGGAGGGTTCTTATTTCTCTCACTCCCCTTCTGATTCACCCCGTCTCTTTGTGCTTCTCCTATCCTCCCAGTGTTTCCTCTTCCATTTATGCTCTAAGCCCTTTTAGTTATTGGAGTAAAGGTCTGAGGAAAAGTATTTGCTGCGGTACATGTCATTTCCTAAAGTTTTTATTAAAACCATAATTCAGGCACTGTACAATTTAAACGTCATCAAACTGTCATTACTCTGCTCATCTCTGGTTGGAAAACTGTTTCCCTATTCTGTTAAGGAGAATTATTAGTCTTATATTAATCATACAATAAACTTCAGTTCAGTTTACTTATGTAGAGCAAATTCACAACACATGCCATCTCAAGGCACTTTACAATTCAACCAGCTCATACAGTCAAATTGATTCAGTTTTCTATCTAAGGAAAACCAGTTGTTTGCATCGACTCTTTGATTCGAAGGCAATCCCTCACATGAAGCATGCTTGTAGCGACAGTGGAGAGGAAAAACTCCCTTTTAACAGGAAGGAACCTTCAGCAGAACCAGGCTCAGTGTGAGCGGCCATCTGCTGAGGCTGACTGGGGTTCAAGGAGACAGAAACATAGATACAGAAAGAAGCAGAGATACAAAAGGCAGCTGTCAACCAGCTCCACATGCGGCCTTAACAGAATTGTTATTGGTTGTTATTATATTATACTTCCAGCTAAAGAACTCTAAAGTGCCAGAAATCTATAGCTAAAAAAATACAATTGAATGATCTCATTGAGCATTTACAAAATGTAAAAAAATATATATATAAAGTTATGTTTTCATTTTATAATAAATATTTAGGATAAAAACATATACAATTAATACCTCAAGGATCTAGATTAATTACTTTATGTTGGTGTTAACCACCAAATCCAGTCGGTCTGAACTGGACTAGCAGTGCAGGGTAACCAATCAAATGCAATGGCAATAGCATATTTGCACAAAAGATTGTGGGTAGGCCACTCATTATGCTGCAAACTACACCCTACACCCTAATTACTTCCCTTTAGGGCTGCTCTTATGATGCAAACATCCACAAAAACAGACATACGTCGTAAAGATGCCACTTCTTTTCAAACAAACAAGTGAAACAATAACCTGCACCACACCTCAGATAGCCAGTTTGTTTTCCTACATTTAGTAGCAAGTTGAGGTGACATCTCGGACTTTATGCACATGCGTTGAAGCAATAAAACGTTAATTAGGGCACAAATGACAGATATAAAATGTCTATTTTTGTATGTATATTTTAGTTGAGCTCCCCCCTTTACTTCTACCACCCCAATACTCCCCATGAAGCCCATAGAACAACCGACTTCAGTGCTAAGGGTATACATGAAGACCCACAATGATACTGTAGCTTTATTATGATAGATTGAATGTATTCATACTGAATTATTTATGACAATCATGTAAACTACTTACTTGTAATTATTCATGTTAGGTTAAAAGCATGGATTAATTTATCCCTGTATTTATTGTACATTGATATCCCCTCTTTTTTTTTTATAATTATACAAAAAACATGTAATTTATCATTCTAACATATTTTACAAAGAAGACTATGACATATTGGTATTAATCTGATTTGGGCTCACTTTACTTGTATTCAACAAAAATACATAAATTGCAATCAAAAGGTAAAACCAATAAAGAAATAATTTTATGCAGGCTTAGACAGCACAATGAAAAAATTATAGAAAAGCTAAATAAGGGTTTGGTATGAAAAATATACTAACAGCCAAAAATGTTAGAGGCTGTCCACCTGAACTGATAGAATAGAGGATCGAGGATAAACTGAGATTGATAGCTCAGGTGAGACAGTCAGTCAACAGGACAATAATTAGACATTTCTAGTTTGGCACAAACATGCAGGGATCTCAGGGGACACACAAACAATGACCCTACCCATTTAGCCAGAAACAGCAGAATGATTTAGATCAAAGCACATGAATGCATCAGAGTGGCCTAGTCAAAGTCTGGAAATAACTACTCCACAGATTACAAATAAATATACAAGAATAAATAACAGAGGTTAGGCTGAAATGTGTTTCCATAAAGGCCACACTTGTAGATACAGAGCTGGGTAATGAATTAATATCTATATATCGTAAGAGACTCTGATCAATATCAAAGGAAGTAAGCATTGTTGGAAGCAGGGCTGACCTATTTTCAAAAGTTGTTGGGCTGTGGTTACAAATTAAATTCATGTTGCTTTCTCCTTGTTTCAAATAGGTAAACAAAACACTAAGCAATAGTTATCATCTGATATGAAAGTCTTAGCTTGTGATATTTATAATTTTCATTGCCATATCCTACCGCCCTACGTAAAGAGAGAAAAAACATGCATCCGTAATAGAAATTTATTAAGTTGGGGCTCAGTGGGTCTGATTATGGATTTATATCATATTTTAAATAGCAGCGCAATCATGATTTGTATATGAATGTATTACATTGTGTAGTTGTATCTCAACACAATGTCCTATGTGCTTTGCAAAGTACTTGGAAGGAGCTGCAGTTTTCACCTCTTACTTTTGAGTCTCCTTTAGTTTCCCTTCTGGTCTGACACAATGATCTGCTAATTTGGAGCACAGTTTCAGTTTGAAGAAGTTTAACAAGTGTATATCACTAACTCCTAGAACCAGCCTGAGAAGCTTGCAACATTTGGCATGTTTTTTAATCATTCATCCGAGACCATAAATAAATAAAAGCCTGTCAAACTCCTATTAATTAGCAGGATCCTAATTGGAGTGATTGTGGGTTTTTTTTTGTCTTCTTAGCCCGACTGTAACACTCCGCCTGTCTGCTGTGGATGCGGCTTTCAGACTGAAATCGCCCCCAGATTTTCTTTGGCTGGATCATTTTCCACCCAATTCTTTTTTCCTTCAACACTAGAATGAAAACTATGTCTTTTTCTAACCGTCTCTGGTATTAACATCATTTTCAGCATTCCAAAGTTAGAGCGCAGGCATATAGATGGTCTAAAGAGCAATGGAAAGAAAAAATAAAACAGTTCTATATTATTAATTATTTCCTTTACGTTTATTAGCTCTAGATTTTCTCACATGTTTTATCTGTTACTCTTCTCCAAATAAGGACATTGCCTGAACATTTACCTAAATGTTTTTACTCCAAAGAGCTCTTGAGAGGTGAAGTTTAGATTAGGGAGTAGGAGGGGGTGGGGGGGGTGGGGGTGGGGGTGGGGGGGTACACAGTAAATTCTGCAGGAGTCAAGTTGGGGAGTGGCAGACGGGGTGAACGGGTGGGAAAGGGCCGTCACGGGGGACTGGGGCTGCCTCCAAACCTCCACTCAAGTTTAAATCACACAGAGCTCAACTGACTCCTGCTTTGCATCCCCCTGTCTCTCTCCTCTTCCATCCGCAAACTGCTCCCTGCAGTCAGCCCGGCAAGAGCTCCTGTGAGGCATCTTCCTTTGAAGGAGAGAAAAAGTAATACATTTCCCCTTTTCTGAGCCCTGCAGGACACCAAGAGCCAACAGTCACCATGGAGGCCATCAAGAAGAAGATGCAGATGCTGAAGCTGGACAAGGAGAATGCCATAGACAGGGCAGAGCAGGCCGAGTCCGACAAGAAGGAGGCAGAGGATAAATCCAAGCAGGTGAGATGGTTGATCTCTTTTCATGTACCAGAATTCAAAATACATCTTTTTTCCTATTTATGTAAGGAAAAATAAAGATTTAAATACTTTAGATATTGTAAAACAGGGAGAAATGACAGTTACATCAAAGCACAATAATACAGTCAATAATAGTTTTGTATATATTTAAAGCATTTTGAAACTGTTTTATGAATTCAGGTTCTCATTCAGCAACATTATGTATCTGCAAGGGGCAAATTCAAGACTTACCGAGTAATATAATGAATATGTTTGCATAAAACAAGTAAAAAGTTATCTTTTTGATAATTCAAAATCTACGTTATCTTTGATTCATTTACTAGAATTATAAATATGCATCTTTTTATGAGTTTAAATCTTTTTTTTAAATAAAATAAACGCAAAAAAGTGAAATACTATAACAAACGGTATAGGTAAATAATGTTATGATAGAGGGGCTTTTCCTAGCCAGCAGCTGATACTGAGCCCCCTCTTATGCATGTTATGTATCCTAGAAGCACAAAAAAAGTTAGATCCACCTTAAATTTATGTGATCGTATTGAGCTAAATAATTATTTGCATTGCTGGAAGCACTCCTCTCCATCAGTTAATCCTCCCTCCTTTTCCATCAATCTTGCTCAGCATCGCTATCTGAACTGAGGTCTTAAGAGAAAACATCACTGATCCCTTATATCCTTATTTGGTGCTGCAGCACACGAGCCTTGGAGAGTCGGACGTTTCCAAGCCTCTGACCTAATGACAGCGTACTTATCTCGCTTCACATAAATAAAGCAGGATCTAAACATGTAATAGGGCATTTAAGGGTTACTAAATGGAGGTAATTATTGCAGAGCTGTGGATGGTGTTGTCTCTGTGGTCCAACTGAAGGAATGCTACAGAGAAGAGGTTTGTAAAGCTAAAGGATCCCCATTAAATCAAGTGGAAAGAATCCCTCCATCCCTCTGGAGGCTACTGCTCCTCATCATACCCTCAAAGAGCTCCAGGCGTGACAGTTATCACTGGCACTGCACATATGGACCCTCATCATGTCTTTCACATGAGTGAACATTCAGCTTGAAATTCAAGAAGATCACAGAGAGCTCTTTGGTTTACTTAGCATAGCCAAGATGCTAGAGCTGCACCGAGACACTTTATTTGCTATTCTTGGCAGGAAGAGTTGTACACCAGGGTGCAGTCTGGCCAACAGAGAACACTGAAAATATACAGAGTAACATGCAATGTCAACATTCACCACAAAGAGGACTGGGCTCAGACTCCAGTGGTAATTAGAGGAGCGGGTCACCCAAATTACAGAGGAATTCTGAAAATTCCAGGGGCGATGAGTTTGTTCATTAGAAATGCCCCAGTTCCTGCTTATAAACCAAAGCATCAGGGAACAACTCTTCACAGCATGATACAGCCGAATGAGAATGCCTGATAAACATTTACAGAATTTCTTTGTTTTTGAAAATATATCCCAGTAATAGCGCAGTATCTCAGATTTCCCTAATTCATGTCCTCCATCACCAGATTCAACCAGAGCTATAATTACAGAGTTTTGCTAAACAATGTTTGGTTAATTATCAAATAAATTACAAAAAAAAAAGGAATTCCTCTTAAAGCTTTCCAAGATCTTGTCATGTTTCAACCTATTACCATTAAATCTTAGAGGTTTATAGTCGTATATAAGGATGGTAATTATAATTTTCAACATTAAAAATATTCCAAAAGAAATGGAAAAATGCAGCATTCATTAGTATTCAGCTCTCCCTATTTGAATGCCCTTAAATAAAAAGGAACACATAAGATTTACTTAAAAAATATATTGCAAGTATTTGCACACAAATTTAATGCTGCAATATCAAATAACACTCACTTGCCAGTATCAAGTGAATTTTACCTTCCATAAGACATTACAGTTGTGAGGATAATAAGTAACAGCTACTTAATTACGTTGTAAATTAGATTTATTTAAACAAATTAAGTAAAGTGTACTTGTTTTTTACAGGCAAAAACAGCATTTTAATCAAAATTTTAAGTAAATCTTATATCCCAGTAGTATTTGCTGTTACTAAGTAATTAAGTAGATATTAATTATTTTCTTGTGCTTGACATTTGACAGTCTAACTGGAATTCATCCATCCATTTTCTGTCAATAATCCCAATTGGGGTCGCGAAGGGTGCTGGTGCCTCTCTCCAGCTGTCTATGGGCGAGAGGTGGGGTCCACCCTGGACCACCCAGGGGTCCACCCAGTTTATCGAAGGGAACCACAGAGACAAACTGGACAAACAACCATTCACACCACACTCACACCAAATGAGAATTTAGAGAAGTCAATTAACCTAACAGTCATGTCTTTGGACTGTGGGAAGCCAGAGTTCCCGGAGAGAAACCACGCATGCACAGGGAGAATATGTAAACTCCTAGCAGAAAGACCCCCGGCCGGGAATCAAACCCGGAACCTTCTTGCTGCATCCGCTGCCACATTTGATGCCACATTTTTCCTACCCTAAGATGACAAAGTCATGAATGCATTTAGGAAAGCAACTTTAACTTTAGGGTGTTTACTTTTGGGGACAGTTCAAATACAATCAACAGGGTATGCCAAGTTCAGGGTATATATTAGTCCCATGAGCAGCAAGTGGGCTTTTGCAGTACTGTTGCACCCTGCCAAAATGACTGTCGTTGCGACTACGTCTTGCTCTGTGTGTGATCCAGACGTCTGAACAGAATCAGTCCTGCTGCGAGCTACGTTGCTCATGAGCCCTGCATGCGTTTCAAAATGGTGCATTTTTAGAGTAAAGTTTATGTAGTATTTTTAGGTTTATGTACCGTACATACTGCTATTAAAAATTTAAATAGTATAAGGATATCTGAGTAAAATTTACTCTTTCCCCAAAATTCATTTAATACATTAAAAAAGGTTTAATTTTAAATACAAAGTAGAAATTATGACGAATACTCTAATAGAGTTTACTGCAACAAAAAGTCACATTTTTCAGTGTACAAAGATTTACACAGTCCCTTAAAAAAAATGCTGAAGAGCATCTTTACACAACTTTCAAAATTCGCCACAGGTTCTCTGTTGGATTTAAATCTGTTCTTTGACAGCTTCATTCTTACTAATATTTCTTCATTCTTAACTTAATATTTAAAGTTCTTGTTTATATGAAAGTTATATTTCCAACCCAGAAGATCTTTTGTGATAACTAACAGGCATTCAGCAAAAATAGCCCTGAATGTAGCTGCATATATCTTCCAATCAAGCCTTTTCAGAGTCCCCGTTGTTATTGAAGAAAAGCAATCCAAAGTATCGTGCTGCCACAAGTATATTTGGTACATGGAAGTTTAAGGTGATGAGCAAAGTTAGTTCCCTCCCAAATGCTGCGTTTTCTCACCAGATAGTTCAGTTTTAGTTCCATATCATATATATCCATATCTGGGTTAAAAGAAAAAATGTGAAAAAAAAGCAAGTTACACTTTTAATATTTGATTGCCAATAAAAAACAACGTTGTTTTCCTTTCAATTTTTGCAGTGTTATCCTAATATGTGTTGTTTACTCTGTTAAATAAAATCTTGTTAATACAAATGTGTGGACGCTATACATGAAAAAGATTGAATAGCTCCCAAAAAACAGCAACAAAAAATGATAGTTGTGACACTTTATTGTTATTAAATAAACAGAGCAAAGGCATTGTTTTCTCAGTAGGTTTATGTAACCTTTCTTTTGTCTCAGCTGGAGGACGAGCTGCTGGCTCTGCAGAAGAAGCTGAAAGGGACAGAGGATGAGTTGGACAAGTTCTCCGAGGCCCTGAAGGATGCTCAGGAGAAGCTGGAACTGTCAGAGAAAAAGGCTGCAGATGTGAGTTAACCACAGCGTCCCTCACCATCTGAAACTCATTAATCACCCTACCACCACAACCTTTGGGTTTCCTCCCTGTACAGTATCGATATCCACTCTCACAGATGGACTTTACTGAGCAACAGCCCTTTAATGCTAAACAAAGGAGGAGCAGAGAAAGTTTCCTATTTTGAGTGTGCTTTTTTACTACCCAAACCACAAAAATGATATATGTAAAGTGACAAAAGAAAGACGGATAAGCCAAATACTTTAAGTGTAGAGGCTATGAATAATGAGGTCAAAAAAGGAAAAAAAAAAAAAGAATGACAACAATTTGTTTTCCAAAGAATCTAAAACTTCTTATTTCATCAATCTTTTCAGCTCAAGTGTTAAAAAAAAAACAAACCTACACTTTATTATAAAATGGGAGACATCTATCTTTTAACCCAGCCATTTCTGGGAAGTTACTGCTGCCTCACCAAGGCCGCTAACTGAGCTGTTTCTCAAGCAGAGACAAAACTTGGCCAGCCTGTAGCCGAGCAGGAATGTCAGGAATGCAGCTTAAGCAAACAGAGAACCCCAGACTGCAGTGTCTAATGAAATCAATGCTTTGGCCTTTTTAGGGGTGGAGATTTAACACTGGGTCCAGCCTACACTGCGGACCATTTAATGGCAGCCGGCTTTTAAAGAGCAACTTTGTTTCCCTCTTATATGCGTTGCATGTACCATCTTTGATTATAAGGGATAGAATCCAATAAGGAAAAATCTTAATTGAAACCACAAGTGTTACATAACAGCACTGGAGGCAGGCCTGCTTAGTCTGCTCATAAAAATAAAAACACTGAAATAATATAGGATGCAAAGGAAAAGATTAGCAGAATCACAATTATAAAATGTTTAATATCTGAGATCAATAAAAAATGCGAAATGTAACAGAGGCTAATTATTTTCTAAAATGGCAGACGCCGCCACACAATGTGAACATTGGGGATATAATGTATTTCTAGGTGTACTCTGATGCAGCTAACATGGATCTTGATAAATGCAGCAGGTGAGAAAATGCCTCAAAGTTTCAAACCTTAGAGTTTTAGGTCAGTGTGATCAGATGACATCAGGTGTGTTCTGCTAATGGTTTCTACTGCCATACCCTGAGGGAGCTGAAGCATGAAAACCCTTAGCAGAAGGTCAGAGGGGGACGATAAATCCAAAGTGAGCTTTAAGGAGGAAAAGAAAAGGGCTACGGAGAACCAAAACTGTCTGAATCAAAAATCAAAGCATAAATTAAGACTATGCCAACAGATCATAACATTAACAACAGGAATTTGACATGTGAAAATTTATCCATAAAAATTGTGGACATGTTTATTTTTTATGTTTGTTTTCGATTATGGATGGAAGTGAGGACTGAATAGCAACTGTTGCATAGCAGATACCGACTATTAACTTCTTTAAATACCGTCATCGTAAATGGTTAATGGCCTGTACTTATATAGTACTTTTTTAAGTCAGGGGACTTGACCAAAGTGCTTTACACTATATTCAACCATTCATGCACACACTCACACACTTGTCCACTAACATCTACCCGTTTATATCAGTATAAATCTAACACGTCATGGGGGATTGAAAATATCTATTGGTCCATAGATGAGTTGATAACATATCCATAGATTTAAAACAAGAGGGGCATTTCTTTAGTTTTAAACAATACTTTTGGAAAAAATAGACCAGAAAAATTAACAATTTTCAAAGATTCTAACAGAAATAAAGAAAAGCAAATACTAAAAAATATTACCGTATGTAAAATTACATTTTAGCCAGAGTAGAAATTGTCATAAGTCAATGGTACTTATGGGGTGTTGGAGTTTATGCATGGTGCATATGAAATGTCTAGAAACAAACAGGTTTCATACCTGAATAGTACAAAAACACCACAATTGCAAACAAACTTTTGTGAGCTATACAGTGTTTATAGGAAAACTTTCTCAGAGAGAGCACTTAATTCTTAGATATTTTTATTTTGTGTAAAAAGAACTGTAACAAAAGGAAATAATTCAGGTAGAAATTATGAAAAAAAGAGTAAAACCTGTTGTAGTTTGTCCTCCAGTTTTGCTTTTTATTTGCACTTTCAGGTTTCAGATCATCAGACTACTTTAAATATTAGACAAATATCACAACAATAACTATAAAGAACATAGTTTTGAAAATGTCATTTCATCTGTTCAGGGATATAAGCCGATCAGCCCATATTTACCTGGCCCTCAAATCTCCTGTGCCACCCATTATCACAGTTTCTGCTGGCAAGAGTTAGCAGTAATGGAAAATGTTTTACATCACTGTGGAGGAATTTCCCGCACTCTCATGATAGTTTTTAATTCTATCCCACTGAAGGATTATTAAGAATGGTGGGCCTGCTTGAAGTCATGCCACAGAACCTTGATCAGATTAAAGTTCAGACGTTGATTAAGTCACTAAAACATCATAATCACATCAGAAAGCAGAATCCATGGATCTATTGAGGAGGTTTTCCAGATCACTTAGAACTAAAGCAGGTCCTGTCATGATCTGTTTAGGTTTTTTTCAATCATTGCATGCAGCTGCTGCTTACACTGTACAACTAATCTGCAGGGTTTATCGTACAGTGTGAGTTCACAGCTCACGATTTATGTTCGGCCCGACGCTCTCATGCGATCTACCTGCTCACACTGCACGACTAAAAACCCCGTTGGACTCAGCCCCGCAGTGAGTTGCCCTGACGCGTCTATCCAGAAGCCAAACAAGTAGAAGGGGAATATTAAGCTCACTATCGTGAAACGCACTGCCTTTGGAATTTGTGCATTTTTGTGCTGAAAGCCCTAAAAAGAAAAGGTGACGACGTATTTGGACAAAGACTTTCTGAGCAAATGTGGCTACTACGGTCTGTCAATTTTACAGAAAGAACTGCATTTCACTCATGCATCACTGCCACGCTGCTAAGTTTACATCTGAGGCCCCGTCCACACGAAGTCAAAACGAACACGAAACGCTGATATTTTCCAAAACGTTTGCCGTAAAGACGGAGACGTAAAATAAATGTGAGCGTCCACACGAATGCATGAAAACGCTGCAAAATGTATGCCAGGCCTGCAAGTGGCGCTGTGGTGCCAAAGCAAAAATAAGCAACGAAATGTTGGGCATGCGCACTAATATTTATACATGGTTGCCCTGCGGGTCCATTTTCGTGGTTAAGTCAAATTCAGGTGCTGAACTATGTCGTCGATATTGCTCTGTTCTTCCTGGAGATATTCCAGAAGAAGAAGATTCTGTTGTAAGGCCGACAGCAGGGTGAGTAGCATTAGCAGCAACGGCGCCATTGTTGTTGTGATACTGTGTCGCGCATGCGTGTTTAGAGGCGACGCTATGACGCATGCGTGTAAAAATAAAATATGCGGTTCGAGCGTAAAGATGGAAACGCGAAAACGGCGTTTCGAAATCTTCCCACTCTGAAGGCTGAATAAAAAAAAGATAATTTACAGACCCCCGAAACGCCGGCTTCGTGTGGATGAGAGGCTGGTTTGGTGAAAAATTTGTGCATTTAGGCCAGGGTTCGTCTTCGTGTGGACGGGGCCTGAGAGGAAGAATAAAGAGAAGAATCCTTCTCTGCCCAGGAGGTCCCGACCTCACGATTCCTGATGGGGAGGTGATCGTGAGAGACTGATCACCGCTCGTTAGAGGCCCACCCACTCCCGCAGTGTTCAGTCCCGCAAAGAATTATGATTTTCAGTCCCGCTCCCGCCCGCACCTGTAATAGTTTTTTTGCTCCCGTCCGCAATTCCAGCATGATTCCGCTGTTCGCCTACTGCTCAAGGCAATTTGTGTCATAAGTTTGAGGAATTAAACACACAGTGCTTAGCTGAGCACATTACTGGCAATTCTTCACCACATAATGCATGATGCGCGTTAGGTTGCACGAACTGCAATATCCAGCACATTGTGGTGTATATATATATATATAGACATTGATTGATAATTCATGACTTTATTTTACATTTAATTTTACATTTTAAAACATGTTTTTAGTTTGTGGGTCTGCCGCTTACCACCGTTCCGCCCGCACCCGCACTGTACGCTCTCCCTCCCGCCCGCACCTGCAATGAGCTTTCAATATTTGTCCCAGCGTCGCACTGCCTTGCGTTGGGTCCCGTGGGACTCCAGCTGGAGTGCAGAGCTCTCCCTGTACACTACACGACTCACGATCAGGCTGAAAATCAGCCCGATCGAAAGATTCTCACACAACTGGAAAATATCGCACAGTGTACGCCGGGCTTTATAGAGGGAAAATTGGTAGGGGTAGCCACAGGTGTGGCCAATGATCGGCTAAGGGTATAAGGGCCATGGCCACCCCTTGCCCCCACATATAGCTCTGCCCCTGGTATAAATTATAGATACCTTAACTCATTACGACGTTTGTTGTTTGCTAGTTAACTGAGCATCTTCTTTCCATGTTGCTGTTGAATGTTTTGTTTTTTTTATTCGTACTTGTTATTTTATTGTGGCACTCCCAGTCTTCCATAGCTTAAGGAGTTTGAGGGGTGTGTTGACCCCCCAACAGGGCTGCGGGTCATGTATGCAAACAAATCAATTTACATTCCATGGCACAGGTCAGCAACCCCAGATGAGTGGGATTATCACCGCCCCACCCAACTACTTCTCTTCGTTTAAATACATTATTCCTGTGTTTTCCCATTGTTTTCCCCCGGTCTGTACATGAAGCAACCAAGTGAAACCACGCCTTCAATGCAGCGCCTTCTTATCTCACTCTTTCAGTGATCAGAGCAGGAACATACACCTTGTTTGCCTTATAAGTCCATAATAGAAAAACTTCCACTCCTTTTTTTTCTAGGAGGAGGAAAAATTTTAGTCCCTTCCCCTCCTGAAAGCTGTGATGTCATCCCAGACTGCTTTCTTTACGGGGATTGGAGGATCTCGCCATACATTTCCTGAAACCTCCCAGCCCATTTTCTTTCTTTTTCCTTTTCTTAACTCATCCCATCGTCCCTGATTTCCTGCCAGAGGGAGAGAAAAAAAAGCTGGAAACTTCGATTTAACATTCATCTCTCAGTCTCTTATTTCTAAAGTTTTAGTGTGTTAGAGATAAAAGTGAATAATCGCAGTTAATCATGGAGATGGTAAAGAAGAAAATCCAAAGCCTTCAGCAGCAAGTTGATGAAGCAGAGGATCGCGCACTGGAAGTACAAAGGGAGTTGGATACAGAACGGGAACTGCGCGAAAAAGTGAGCTCCTTAATAATTTAACCCAGGATAAAACACTTTGTCTGCTTTTAAAGCTTCTCTTAAACATTTTCTTTTTTTTCTTTTTTGCAAAAAAAGTAAAGATTTCAGAACTAATGACAGAGCAATGGCCATAATGAAAGACGCATAAAGCAAAGGGAGTGTCTAAACATCCGCCCAGATGTGAATTTGTTACATTTTATTTGTTTTGTTATTATTTAAAATCAGATAACTCGTTATTGGATTACTTTTTCAAGGCTTTGTTACCTAACTTCCCACCCGCCCCACATCCATGCAGGGACTCTTCCACAGTGGGGTCATTTTTACCACATTATAAGTAGATGTGCAACCTTTTAGGTCTTTTCTATCTGGTACATTTATAACCAACTTTATTATTTTTAAGTTATTATTTTTATATATTTAATAATATTTATTCTTATTAAATTAAGTATTTTCTAAGTACTATAACAGACAAAAACTGTTATGCTGGCAGTGAGGGTAATTTTTGAAAGGAAAGACAAAATTACAACAAATATAACAGCCAAAGCATAATCTATCACTATAGGGATGGTATGGCAATGCTGGTACTGTTAGCAGATGCATTGGTTTAGCCCTATACATTTACTGATTTTAAAATAAAATAAAAAGCAATTTTGTAGTATATGACCTGCCAATAACTGTTTGTAGCATATCAAGAAAAAACTGGCTAATTTTGTTTTAAGTTATTTTAGTTATAACATTTTCTCTGCTGTGATTTGCTTCACTGAAACAGTTTAAGACCTTGGTTCTATAACAGTAAATGTACCACATATTGGGCTGTCTTTACCAATAAATGCTTAAAAACAAAACAAACAAACAAAAAAAATTCTTTCAATTATTTAAATGGTTAATGTGAAGCAAATTAGCTGTATATGTGAGAGCAAATAGAGGGATAACATTAACACCTGTATTAGCAGAGGTTTGTTTAGCAGGCAAAGATGGCCAGTCGAACTATTCTCATAAACTAACAAATAATTACTGATTTCACCCAATGCTTCTACACAACCATTTAAAACTGGGTGAGATGTTATGGACATTCTACCTTCTTGCCATTTCCTACTTTTCAAGGTTTTTTGCTTGTCCAAATTTTTAGTCAGCAAGTAGGAATTTCTACAGGGATATTTTGTACCTACTATTTCTCAGTTTTTTCCCACCAAGGACCTACTTTGTTATTAAAATTTCATCCTCATTCCACTGTGAAGAGTTAAGTAATATGGCAATGATGCGTTTTATCTACCAGCAGGTGGCTACCTGCTCAGGGTTCTTTTAGTTTGATCAGGAGTCATAACGGAACAACTGTAATCTAATCCAACAAGCCAGATTGATGATGAGTGGCATTCAGGTTTCTGGGACTGCTCGGATCAAATCCCTTTGAAAAGGTGCAACATTCAACAGAACCTTCTGAGCAATACCTGTGGCCCACCTACCAAAGTGTGGTTTAAGCCGGTCATGGTACCAAATGTCTGTGGGAGCCATGAGAAACCACAAGGATGTATGCTTATAAGGCCACTGCTGCTCCTTTTATGAAAGATTCTGCTACATGATTGGCCGACCCGTTTCAGGTCTGTCACGAACGGTTTAACTCTCGGCTTGCCTGTTACATTTGTTGGCATTTTGATATCAAATGATCTCACTCCACCTGTGAAGTTTACAAAGTAGTTCAAGCAGTAGTAAATATTTCCAAAAACCCCACCCCAGTGGGAACCAAAGAGTTCCACAGCTAACCAAGAACTTCCAGCTATTGTTGCTATGTTGCATTAATCTTTACATAAACCAGCTGTTCTACAACTTTTATGATACAAATTGGCTTTTTGTTGTACTCTATCACCAGACTCGCGTTGTGTTTGTTTAATTCATGACGTTAGAATTGGGAATGACTTTTCACCTGAATGAAGTATATTTAGTTGAACGATGGAAAACTAATTAGGAATTGCAACATATAGTGATACGAATGTCTGCAAAACTGTAAAATTATGTATCCATAAATTCTTTCTATTAACACAATACAGGTACATTATCATTAATAAAGCTTGTATAGCATAATGTGTAGAAAAAGCTTGATAAAATAAGCTACTGCTAGAGATCTATATAAAACAATAGTTACAACTTTCCCCTGCCATATTAGAGTTTTGAATTTTGGGGTTGCTAAGACACTCCCCAGTTTCCCATTTAAGGATTTTAGCTTCTGGTTCTAAGTGGGAAACCCTACCTTACATATTTCAAAGAGAAGCACAACATCCTACTATTGGTCATGTGTTTTAAATGACTTAAAATGCAACAAATATTGGTGGCAGGTAATATTATTTGTGTGAAAGTTTAACCAGATTATTTTATTACTGCCACTGTTACCTTGCTTTAATCACACCTGATATATTGGAATTATATCAGATGTGTAAAGTTAGGTTTTGGTTAGAAACGGCGGTCTCTCTCAGAGTTTGGACTTTTTATTTATTTATTTTGCAATATGGTTAAAAATGTAGGTACAATTTCCTATGTCTTGTAAAGACTCATGAGTTGGAGTAAGTCCAATCCCTGTAGTACTGTGTGTAAAAATTAATAAATAAATTAAAAAAGTCTTAACATTTCATGGGTACAAGGAACATTATTTAGTGACATGATATGTAAAGACAGAGGGCCAGTATTTTAAGGCTTTAGGAAACAGTTTTACTCCTTTTTTAACATCCATAAAGCCTTTGTCTCCTTTTCTTCCTTTAACCCCTTTTTTTTTTGACTAAACCCAATTTCACACACAGCCTCTCTGGAAACGAAGATTCTGTTATTCTTCCTCCTCCTCTTCAGTCTTCACACAGGAAGGAGGGAACAGACATGGTTAACTGAGATATCAGGCAGACAGGAAACGTCCGCCTGACAGGAAAAAGGTTGTGAAGAAGCTACGCAGCTGAAGCTTTTCACATTGTTAGGGTTTAATGAACGCTCTGTTTTTCAGCATCAGCACTTTTCTTTTTCAAAGTCCCTGCTCAGGCTGCAAAGTCCAGAGCTTTTTATGAAAAGCAGAACAGAGATAATTCTTCACAAAAGAATAAGTGAGACAGCATGACATCATGAGAAAAGAAATACAATTCCTGCTAAATTTCATTAAAGTGTTAGTTTTTTAAAGCACTATTACCTAAAACAAAATGTATTTAGGGGACCTTCGGTTTCCACACATTATTTAAGGGACTTCCTCTAGTAAGAGAAGGAAAAAGTAGAGCAGCCAGCTAAACAGCAGTGCACAGGAACAAGTGGGGAAAGGGCATTGCTGCATTGCTCAGGAACGAGTCATGTCACTAGGAAACCTTCTCTTGCTGCTCATCAAAAGATCTTAGGGCTGCAGGAATCAGCTCCAGAACAACTACTTGTTTTTATGTAACTTATCAGAGAGAACCAATAAATAACAGATGTATGATGAAATCTGAAGACTCCATTTCCCAACATCTGGCACCCCTGTGCAGAGAGCAACAGCATCGCTATTATAGACCCTCAGCGGGTCTAATGATTGGATGGGAATGTTTTCAGCTTTGAAAGCAACTCTTTAAACCATGGTTCTGCCTTGATACTGAAAACAGCCTCATCATGTCTCAGTTTGTTCCTCATTTTCAATTTCTACTGAATGCATGTGATGTAAGGGGATTTAAGTAGAGTGTTTAGGCCTCTCACACCTCCATGCAAGTCAGGACAGACCAAAGTCAAGCTTGTATTTGCTGGAATGAAGACGTCCTTATGCCTGGAATTTTATCAGATGTTGCACAAAGAAAGCTGAGAATCACTTTCCCTCTCCTGGTGGCATTAGCAGGAAAACTCAAATGTCTGTGAAGCGTCCAAATATGAACTTTTCTTGGCAATTTAATCTTTTTTGCCTATTTAACTCGGTCAAACGCTCCATAATATCTAAATAAATCACAGTACTTCATCATGCCATTACAGCTGCATCGTTAATATCCTGCACTGGATGTTTTCCATCTGAACTTTGACCTCTAACAAGTCTCTGTCTATTTCTTCTCTGTCTGGCTGAAGGCCGAGGGCGAAGTGGCCTCTCTGAACCGACGCATCCAGCTGGTGGAGGAAGAACTGGACCGAGCCCAGGAGAGACTGGCCACGGCCCTGCAGAAGCTGGAGGAGGCAGAGAAGGCTGCGGACGAGAGTGAAAGGTACAACAGACACAGACCTACACTGCTCAGAAGTTATTAGTTACAGAGAGTTGGTTGTATTTTGGGGAACAGAACAGGAGAAGAAGGAAAATCTAGTTGATCAAACTTAAGCATGTCTTGGACAATTGTCGGGCAAGTTTATTTATCTAACAATTAAATACAAAGTCAATTCAAAGTGCTCTACATGAATTAAACAACGAAATAGAAGAAAATAAAAAACAATAAAAGCAAATAAAGATAAAGAATACAATAAAAGCAGGTAGAAAGACACATATAACAGCATGACCACAACCTTAAACTAATAATACATCAGTTAATAGTTTAACTTCAACAGTCAAAGGCAGTTTTAAACAAATAGTATTTTTAATTTTACTTAGGAGAACTCAGGCTTTCAGCACTTTTACAGTCTTTCGGGAGTTTGTTCCAGATAAGTGAAGCATAGGGACTGAATGCTGCTTTTCCATCTTTGTTCTAGTTCTGGGTGTAGATCTAGAGTAGGCTGAACTAGAAGACCTGAGTGGTCTGAGAGGTTGAAACACTGACAACAACTTTTTTATGTATCGGTCTCCGCCAAGTGACGTCAATTGTTTACCTCGGGCGCGGTACACTACGCCTTTTCCACCTAAAATGGCGTCTTAGCAACAAATGTCACGTGACTGGCGGAGACCGATTTTCCTAAATCCGCCCCTGTTTTCAGGCTTATGTTAACTGTAATGACTTATCTTGGACAGGCTGCTATGTAAATGGGCCTTTAGTCTTTCGTTTAGCTATGCTGCGGTTGTTTACACTACGCCTTTTCCACCTAAAATGGCGTCTTAGCAACAAATGTCACGTGACTGGCGGAGACCGATTGAGATGCTGATCCATTCAGTGTTTTCTAGACTAACAGAAGGATTTTAAAGTTTATTCTCTGAGCTACAAGGAGCCAGTGGAAGGACAGCCGAACTGGGCTAATATGCTCTACTTTCTTAGTTCTAGTGAGAACACAGGTAGCAGCATTTTGGATCAGCTGCAGCTGTCTGATGGACTTTTTAGGCAAAGCTTTCAAGACACTGTTTGAGTAATAAATTATACTCAAGATAAATGCATGAATGAGTTTCTCTAGATGCTGCTTGGAAATTAGTCCTTTAATCCTTGGGATGTTCTTCAGATTTATAAAAGGCTGACCTGGTAATTGCCTTTATTTGCCTCTGAAGGTTTCAGTTCTGAGTCCATTATGACATCAGGATTTCAGTCATAATCAGTGGTTTCTAGCTGCAGCAGCTGCAGCTGTGAGATAACAGCAAACATGTACCCTGTTCCACAATCAGTTTACAGCTTTCACTGTTCAAAAGTTGGTTAACGCTGTTATGAACCATAAAAACCTGCAGCACACAGTTACCTCATTTTATCTGTATGGACTTAGAGTACCAAAAAATAAAGATTCAGGAATGCCCGTCTCATAAAACTTGATCCAACATGAAACGCATCAAAAGTCTTTCGAAGAGGTAAAAAACAAGCCCAACATAAAATAATTTGGGAACCATAGTTGTTATTCAAATCTAAAACCTCTTTTAAGGCAAAAATATATTATATTTTTTATTTACTTTATCTAGGGGTTGCTCAGTTTTTTGACATTTGTTAAAATATAATAAAAGAAATGTACAAATATGACCTATGTGGCAATTGTTCAAATTGAACAAATAATAAAACTGAGTGAACAACAGTGTAAACTCTCAAGTACTTTAAAAAAATGACATCTTTCTTTTTCTCTTGAAATTAACTATTGGTTAATATATATTTTGTATAATTTGTATAATTTTAGCTTTAACTGTATAGTGTGTGTCTGCTTTTTTAATCTTTTCCAGATTTTCTCATTGCTTTAATTTAAAAGCATCGCTTTGCTGAGGTCTGTCTCCCTGTTAACGTTTTACATCTTCTCATCTTTAGAGGCATGAAGGTGATTGAGAACAGAGCCATGAAAGACGAGGAGAAGATGGAGATCCAGGAACTGCAGCTCAAAGAAGCCAAACACATTGCAGAGGAGGCCGACCGCAAATATGAGGAGGTGCTAGTTCAAATCGGAGCTATTCTTCCACATTTCTCCAAACAAACCCGATCTTATTTCTGCTCCTGTTTCGCCTTGTGCTGATTCTCTTTCTCGGCCTCCTTCTCAATAGGTTGCTCGCAAACTGGTGATCCTGGAGGGTGACCTGGAAAGGGCGGAGGAGAGGGCAGAGCTTGCTGAACTGTAAGCACAAGGAAAAAACAGAACAAATGGTGGGTAGGTGCTGATAAGTGCTAATAACGGATAATTTTTTACTCTGCCCCTGCAGAAAGTGTAGCGAGTTGGAGGAAGAGCTCAAAAATGTCACCAACAATCTCAAGTCTCTAGAGGCTCAGTCCGATAAGGTAACAGTCCAGATTACACACTTTCCTACTCAACACTTCTTATAGAAGAAACAGACGTATTCACACACCATATGCTTTGGGGAATTTATTTGGTAGATCCACACAAAGTAATAGCGGCTGAATAGAAAAGCATGTAACTCGTTTTTATAATGAACCTTGTTACCTTTTTTTTAAAATGTAGTGCAGTTAATGGACTTCAAAGAGCACCTATGTTGTAAGCCAAACTTATGGTACAAATCCAGCTCTATTAGGACGTCTCAGAGGTTTTTTAGAGCAATTATTCCCAACTGGTGGAACTCGTACCCCTAGTGGTCTGCAAGTGCATTGCAAGGGGTACATGAAAGCATATTTTATTTCTTAGGTAGTAAATGAAATAGGGCTGGGATCTGTTTTGCTTTGTGAGGACCCAACTAAATAATAGAACAAGCTTTTTTTTCAACCAAAATGTAAGTTTTTCTTTGAGTTCAGCTTTGACAGAGCTTTAACGGACTGGATGTAGAGAACAGCCTGGGATCAGCTGTTTTTCACACTGAGCTATCGGAGCTCATCAGATCAGCTCAGGTGTCTTGATGAAAACAAAATAATTAATTAAGTAACTAATTAAGTCAGTCTAACTATACTTTTTCCTGTATTTTGTTCCCACTTCATCAAGTTTAAATGTGATTATAAAGGAGTTACTAAGAGGAGCTCCTGTTTTATGAATACATGTTTATAGTATGATTTTATTTTGTATATATTTCAATTCCTTATTAACTTCCAGGCAACATATTTTTTTTTTTTTTTTTTTTTTTCATTTGAGATGACAATAATAAAATACCTAAGAATTATTTGCTCAAATTGAAAGATTTAGTAAAATATTTATAATCGGTTATTGTACGTTCCACTTTTGAACAATTAACAACACTGTTGACTGAGAGGGGGACTCAATGTAAGACAAAATGCCCAACGGGGAACACGAGTCAAAAAAGCTTGGGAAATACTGAGTTAGAGAACGAACATTATCTTGAAGACCAAATGACACAGCAAGCTGGTGGGGAAGACAGGCTCAGGTTTAGGTTTTTTTTTAAACTAACAAGGGAAGTTAACCTCAACACACTAAGCTCACTGTGAAACATGGTGGTGGGATCATCATGCTACAGGGTTGCTTTTCTTTGGAGAGGATGGAGGAACCAAGTAAGATGAATGGATATATACCCTAATTATAAAGTCAATTTAAGTTAAGCCGTTTAGATGAATATCCAAACACTAGACTGGTCCAGTGTGGGAGAAATGGAGCCAAGTACAATAACATCCTAAAGAAGAAGACTGTAGGCTGGAGCAAAGGATTATCACCTTGTGTGGGTTTATCACAGAGAATCTCAATAAAAGACTTTTAGAGTGTTTTTTTAATAATTAAAATATTAGGCAAAAACGAAAAAGTAAATTGAAATCAAATGTTTTTAAATGAACTACCATGGCAGTAAACTGATGAAGCCGCTCTTTTTCTGTGCAGTACTCTGAGAAAGAAGACAAATATGAAGAGGAGATTAAAATCCTGAATGACAGACTCAAGGAGGTAAAATCAAACTGAAGGGTTGTCCACATGCTTTTGTTGTTTGGATAAGGATGATTAATGTTTGTGGTGGGCTTGTTTTTTTTCTTTTTGTGTTGTACTATAGGCGGAAACCCGTGCAGAATTTGCAGAAAGAACAGTGTCGAAGCTGGAGAAGACCATAGACGACCTTGAAGGTACATCCTGTTTCTGTTCCAATCTGTTCTTTTCTTCTTCACTGATCTCTTCTGTAAAGTCGTACTTGAGTTTATATTTAAGCTGGTCTCTTTCATTTCTCTCCTCTTCCTCTGCCCTGACCTGCACTTGACTCTGAACCCCCTCCCCCTGCTTTCTCCTCCTCCGTTTCCGACTTCAGATGAGTTGTACACTCAGAAGCTGAAATACAAGGCTATCAGCGAGGAGCTGGATCATGCCCTCAATGATATGAACACCTTGTGAAGCTCCCACTTGGCTTCTGATGTTTGCTCTTCATTTCTTTCTGCATTCTTAAGCATTTCTTCTCCCATCCTGCTCTTTTCAGTTTGCATTTAACTAAAAACAATAAAGACCTTTTTCTCTCTTCTCCTGCCTCTGTTCTTTCACTTGTAGTTTTCTGTTTTCCACATAACATGATTATGTTTTTCAAAGCCCAGACATTTATGTGATCATGCAATTCATTGATGACACCCTCTTTATTGCAGAGAGTCTGTCGCAGGCAAAGGAAGAAAACCTAGGAATGCACCAGGTTCTGGACCAAACGCTGCAAGAGCTCAATAGCTTGTGAAAAAGAAAAAAAAAAAGAAAAATACAAGAACAAAGCACAGTTTAAAAAAAATTAATACTCCAATTTTTTTGTAAAATAATTTTTTCTACATGCCATCCATTTTTTTGTCATTCCACATCTCCTTACGTATCTGTGACTTTTTTAACACATGTAGCTCATTTTTATATTTATGGTTCCTTTTTTTTCTATGACTTTTTTAACTAATGGTTTTGGGTCCATGCAATTTCAGTATTGGTGCTGGAAATTCTGTTCTTGACCAAACACTGAGAGTGAATAAAGCTTTTAATGATGTCAGGCACTATGCAGCTCCTGACACCCTCTGCTCTTTTGGCATCCCTGATAAAGATGTGTCAAAAGTCTTAAGATATGTCATCTTCTAGTGCTGCTGATAAATCTCACTCTGTAAGATGTAACAAAAAAAGCAAAACTGAGTTTTTAAACGTTTATTCGTTGTGGAAAGAAAGAAAAATCCCTGTATTATTGGCAGCCATTACAATCTTTATTAAAGAAATACAACTGGAAACATCTCTGAGTTATTCTTAATTTGTTAACTTGATCAAAGTGTCTAACCTATAGTTAATAACCTACTTTTTTGTTTTCTGAGTATATATGATAAGTAAAGGAGGCAGTTTTTCTGCTCTTCAAAATGGAAAAAAAAACACAAATATGTAATTTAGACAATGCAGATGTTAGTTGGTTTTCATATAATAAGAGATGGTTGCAAGTACAGAGCTACAGTACTGATCTATAATTTCTCATTCAAAAATTCAAGAGAGCGTGAGCTGTGGTGGGACATCCGTTTCAGGAACTGGGATGCTTGTCATAGAGTATCAATACCACATGTTAACTTGCTTTTATTTAAACTCAAAATATTAATGCAGAGTAAGAAGAGATGTTAATTATCTTAAAAGCTTGCTAATGGACATGTGCAGCACACCATCTCTCTATAGAAACCGTATCTAATCTAGAATCTGTCTGTCTTGGGAGGTATGCAGGAAAAAGCATGGCCTTTTATACCATCACAGATTTAAAACTTATGCTTTCATCAGATTAAACTCGACATAGCTTTATGACAACCCGAACTCTTGGGAGGTTGGTCATAAACAAAGTATAACCATGTGGGGAAACCACAGATTTACAGCGCTAGGGATGTTTTCTCCTCTATAGGCAATAGGAACCATGTTTTCTCTCTATCTTCAAAAGAAAAAAAGAGCAGCTTTTTGAATAAAACCTGCTTGCCTCTCAGTCCCCAGATTAAATACTGTAAAGGTAAAGAAACCAGAGCATAAAAAAAAGACTCCGGATTATGGTAATAATGATATGGGCATTCATTTAGAGGATGTCCTTTCTGCATATTCCGACTTGCATCCCAGAGACGATTTCAACACTCATCCAAAAAATTATAATGGAAAAAGAGCAAGCAGAGGGAAGGCATGCGCAAACATGCTGTGTTTTCTTTTGGCTCCAAGAAAACCGTGAATTTGTTTTGTATCTGTTGAAGCATCAAATTCTGGTCTGGGAAAAAACACCATGTTATTGGCAGCTAACCCTTAGTGAAGTAATTCATTATATTATGGGCAGGATATAAGGAAAGTTCCAAAATGACTTGATGTGTCCTAAATGATTGCGACAAAATAAATATATAATCTGTAACATTTCATGTTTGATATCTGTACTGCTATGAAGCCATGGTAAAATAATGAGGTTATTTTCATAAGACAAGGCTTCACATTATACATCCAGATAAAGGGCGTTAAAAATAAAGAAGGCATAAGTGTGCTGACTCCCTCTGGTTAATCTGATGCTACAACATCTTTACACTGAAACCTTGATCTCAATGTTTGGCTCTGCAAAGTAACATGGACTAAAAGTCATAAACTCCATTCTTAGAACATTGTATAATTGTCTTTTATACATCATTGAATTAAGTTAAACACATAAAAGCTAACCATGTAAAAAGTATTGGAATACCTTTGATTAATTTGACTTATTTCCCCAGACATAGGACTGGAGTTGCATAGCAATGATGAGTTTGAAATGTAAATATATACCCACAATAGTATTCACTCACCTGCCCTGAGTCACACATGAGCTTAAGTGACACCCCAATCCTAATCCATAGGGATTTAAAATGATGTCAGTCCACCCTTTGCAACTTGAGAAGCCTCAACTCTTCTGGAAAGGCAGTCCACAAGGTTTTGTAGTGTGTTTAGGGGAATTTGTGTGCATTTGTGAAGTCATACTCTGACGTTGGATGAGAGGGCCTGGCTATTTAATTTATCCAACTGGTGTTTTTATTGGGTTGAGGTCAGGACTCTCTGCAGGCCAGTCAAGTTCATCCAGACTAGACTTCACCATCTATGTCTTTATGGACCTTGCTTTGTTCACTGGTGCACGGTCAAGCTGGAAGAGGGAGGGGTCAGCTCCAAACTATTCCCACAAGGTTAGAAGCATGGGGTTGTCCACAATGTCTTGGGAGGCTGAAGCATACAGAGTTCCTTTCATTGGAACCAAGGGGGCAAACCCAGCTCCTGACCATAATCCCCCACCAACCAAACTTTACACTATGATAGTTTTATTCTGACACTTCCTGTTCTCCTGGCAACTGCCACACCCAGACTTGTCCATCAGATTTCCAGGTGGAGAAGCATGCTTCGTTAATCCAGAGAATGGATCTCCTCTTCTCTGGAGTCGAGTGGTGGTGTGCTTTACACGACTGCATCAAACACGTTGCATTGCACTTGGTGATGTATGGCTTAGATGCAGCTGCTCAACCATGGAAACACATTACATGAAGCTCTCTGTTCTTGGGCTAATCTAAAGTTTAGAGGTGTACAGTGACCAACTCTGCAGAAAGTTGGTGACCTCTTCGCACTATGTGCCTAAGCATCCACTGACCCTGCATTGTCAGCTTACACGGCCTGCTAAGTTGCTGTCATTCCCAAACACTTTCTTTTTATTATGATCCAGCTGACTGTTGATTGTGGAATTTTTAGGAGCGAGAACATTTCACATCTGAATTATTTGCACAGGTGGCATTGTATCACAGTTACACGCCGGAACTCACTGAGCTCATGAGAGCAACCTGTTTTTTTCCCAAATGTTTGTAACAACAGTCTGCAGGCCTAGGTGCTTGATTTTATAAACCGAGGTCCATGGAAGTGATTGAACACCTGATTCCAATAATTTGGATAGGTGAGCAAATACTTTTGGCAATATTTGTGTAAATCAGAAATGCAATTTTTTTTTTAACTATTTTTCAAGGCTGCACTTTTAAAAAGATGGAATTGCCCAGTTAGCTGTTTCCAAACGAAATTTCTTTTTGTTTTACACTTGTGTAAACAAAATGACGAATAAAATCTGTCTAAAGTCTAAATATTAATAAATGTAATCAATAAAAAGTGGATTTTAAGATATCAAAAAACATCACATATCTAATTGCAAATGAATCTGTTTTAGCAAATACAAATCAATGTTTTTCTTTATCATACAACAAAAGAGTATTATTGGCCCTTTCAGTTCCTCCATGTAACTCCAGTGGAAGGAAGTGGCTGAAGTTATAAAGAACACAATCCCCTCTCTTGGGCTGTCTATAATGCTGTGTGTGTGCTCAGGTCGTGACATTTTGGAACAATTGTGCAACAAGACAAAATGTAAAAAAGTTGAGGTAAAGTTTTTCAAGGTATTTCTTTTATAATTTCCATTATCGGCTCCAAACGTTAAGTCTAAGATGTCTTTGATTTTGCACCATGAAGTGGTAGGTTCCAACGAAGAACTTGGGTACACGTCACTGATAACTTCCTGCCAGTGGATGCCGTGCCAGCAGGGGGCGACATATCAACTTCATGCATCCTATCTTCGCCGGGCGGGATTTCCGCAATAATATCAAGTATGGCGAAAACATACGACTATTTGTTTAAATTACTTCTCATCGGGGACTCTGGTGTCGGGAAGACCTGTGTGCTCTTCAGGTTTTCAGAGGACGCCTTCAACTCAACGTTTATCTCAACAATAGGTACGTACTGAGGGATATGTTGGTGTATTCTCTGTTTACATTACGCAGGACTGGCTTTGCGGATTCGTCTAATTGCTGGAATGCTGGTTATGCTATATATGCCATATAAGGCATTACAGATTTTGTTAGAGAACGTTAATCCTTGTGCAGATTTTGTGGTCCTGACCGCTTTAATATAGTGGGAGGGAGAGAACTGTAAACGTTTTGTTTTTTTTCTTGCATGCTGTCAATATGAAACCTACCTTTTGTACCGGTTTATATGCCCTAGTGTCTATGACCCGTCTATGCTCTGGAAAGACACCGGAAAACCTGATATGTTTTATATTTATGTCAGTTGCGGGTTAATCATTTCCTTCAATGTGTTTTTTAAATGATCTCAGCTTTACAGTTATGATAGGAATGCTAGTTTATGCTTGATTTTCCACAGGTATTGATTTCAAGATTAGGACAATAGAGCTTGATGGCAAGAAGATAAAGTTACAGATATGGTAAGATTCCCTTTTATCTAAGCCAACCATTGTTTTATATATAGGATGCTTTGCCTTTAATTGATATACATTGTATCACTATTACAACCACAGAATTCAGTGTATTTTGTGTGATATATAAAAGAGAGAAGTGATGCATAATCGTAAAGTTGGAAGAAACTGATGAACTGTATATAAAGGTATTTCAAAAGTAGAATTCTCATAGATTTGTGCTTTTTATAAAACCCACTGCAGTCAGTTCCCTTCAAAAGTTGTTCAAATAGGAAATAGAACCTGGAGACCCTTTGTAAGCATATACTGCTGCTACTGCTATTTTTGTGAAGACTTCAGCGTTTTTTTTTGTAACTAAATATAAACAACTAGCACAACGATGGCCACGAATCACAGCAGACAGGTCAAAAATAGGGTTTTGGAGATGTTAAAAGAAGATTAAGTGATAAAGATCTTATTAAGGGCTGTTTATTTTAAATCTACAAAGTGAAAGTAAGATATGGTCTGCCACATAAACTGACAGAGTCATCAGTAAGTCTGGAAAAGATGCAGATGTTGACAGCTAAGGTAGATGATATTGTCAACGGCATAGTTTTAAGTTTCCCTGTCTAACATGAAAGAAACCAAAGAGCTAAGATGTAGGTCCCTTACTAAAAAAACTGAAGAAGGAAGCAAGGGTGGTGCACCCATTAAAAAACTACATGAACTATTTGCAAGTGCTGATTGGATTTGTGGCTGGATGGGTGTGCATTTAATGAATAAATCCACCAGTCGGCATCCAGCTGGTTGTCTGCCTTCACTGGAAGTACCACATATCCTCCAGTTAAGATACAGTATAAGCAGTATGTTATATTATTAAAGTTTGTCATGTTCAAGCGGTGCGAATTCTCTCTGATAAAAGAGTTCAAAAATAGTCCTCTACTTTTAAAATCAATAATAATCCGAAAAATGTGTGTTTCCTTGCACTTGTTGTACATTTTAACGCTGCTCTGACTTCTGCAAACTAAAGCAAAATATATAAAACAAACAAACATCACCTCTGAAACCTCCAAAAAGAACATTAAAAATAAAAGTGAAATATTAAAGGCTAAATATGTATATATATTTTCTTACAGTCTTATAGTTACTGCTATAAGTGGTTTGCTCTGTCATCTAAAGGCATGTTTTAGAGTCTTTATACTTCAGTTAACAATGAATCCATTACTAAATTAGTTTATATAATAATAAATTAATAAGATTCATTGTTTCAACCTTAGATGAATATCAGATCTCAGGTTTTGGGTTTCTTAAACACAGTTTAATAAAATAATATTTTAATTTACAGTAAAAAAAAAAAAAAAAAAGGAAGTATGATGGGTGATATGTGCCAAACCATACAGGGAACCAGTTAGAATGGGATTTTTGGGTTATGAACAAGCTGCCTCTCACTATGAAGGCATAGAGCTAAAAAAAAAAAAAAAGTCTGAACGTTTCCAATCTGAGCTCTTTGACATAATCTCCCCGATGTGAAAAAGTAAGACATGTTTTAAACCGAAAAAATATCACCTGTGAGTTACTGTTTATTGTAACCCCCTAGATGCATATTTCAACCTCTGCTTAACTTACCATCTTGGACTCTTACAGGGATACAGCAGGCCAGGAGCGTTTCAGAACAATCACAACAGCCTACTACAGAGGAGCAATGGTGGGTAGCTGTAAATGCTATTGGTTTCTCATCTTTAAGCATTTAAAGGTGCTTTAAATAATTGCAATATGTGTCTGCAGGGCATCATGCTTGTCTATGACATCACGAATGAGAAATCTTTTGATAATATCAAGAACTGGATACGGAACATAGAGGAAGTAAGTGCTGTTTGAAACTAATTATCACTGACATGTTTGCTCCTTCCTAAAAGGCTGCGTGAAACTTAATACTGTAACTTTCCCTCTATTAACGTAGCATGCGTCATCTGATGTTGAGAAGATGGTCCTTGGCAATAAATGTGACATCAACGACAAGAGGCAGGTGTCCAAAGACAGGGGAGAAAAGGTGTGAAATCTCAGCTAAGAATGAAAGCTTTGGTTTGTTTTGTTGTTAGCGCCGTTGTGTTATGAAATGTTGCTGGAAATGATTCTTTTCTCTTTCTTTCAGCTCGCACTAGAGTATGGGATCAAGTTCATGGAGACCAGTGCAAAGGCCAACATCAATGTGGAAAATGTAAACCTTCTCCCTTATTGCTTGTTCTATCTTATTTGAATGCCAGCTGGATTTATGTCTGATTGAAACCTGGAAGCAGCTCTAGATGTGTTACAATCCCAGAAATGTTATTTGCATATCAGAGAAAATGTTTTAAACTCATGGAGTTAATCCTGTAAATCAGTTGATCCTTGTTGCTTCTACCTGCACTAATGCCCCTAGTTTCTCGCTTGATATGTGTAATGATTTATTGCCCTGGCTTTATATGCAAATTGTTAATTAATTTACCTTTCTTTGGATTCACAGGCATTTTTGACTCTTGCCAGAGACATCAAATCAAAGATGGACACAAAAATGGTAGGAAAACTTAAGTATGGGTCTTGCAAAAGCATTTGAACCAATATGATCTGTTTACATTTTGTCAAACTACTGCCGGATATTTCAATGGGTTATCCTTATGTTAATTGGAGGGGTGAAAACATTTTACTTCTTTCTCCAAAATAAAAACAAAGAGATAAAGTCTTTCTGGTATGTCTACCAACTTTTCACTTTTAGTGACTATATTAAATAAAAAAAAGCCCAGGTTGAGTCAAATTGGATGGAGGCCATCTGTAAACATTAGTTTTTCATTCTTTGCACAAATTCCTGTTTAGGTCTGGAGTTTGAATAGGTCCTTATGATCAATGATATGTTTCAATGTTAACCATTCAAGTGTGGCTCTGAATGTAAGTTAAGGGTTGGAGAATTACACACATATTGACGCTTACCAAAATTCTGTCTGATTACATTTTTTTTTAACTTAAAAAAAATCTATGAAAAAGACATTTCTTTAAACCCCATAATTGCATGCTACTGTGTTGGTTTATCAAAGGAAAGCCCAAGAAAAAACATTGAGGTTTGCGAAGTTTGAAAACTGTTTTGATGTTGGCTCAAATTAAGTTAGCAACTAACTTTTTTATTTTGCAAATCGATTAATCTATCGATTATGTTTTCGATTAATAATGGCATCGGCAAAGATTCCTTAAAGAAGATTTTTTTTATTTTTTTTACAGAATCAAACTAGGTGAAGCTAAAATGTTTCCACTTGAGGAGTTCTGGATAGAGCATATTGATAGATTAAAAAAAAAAAAAGTTTTTTCTAAGCTTGAATGCAAAATCTTTATATATATATATATATATATATATATATATATATATATATATATATATATTTATTTATTTATTTTTTACAATCTTGGTATAATTACTGCTCTATCAGATGAAGGCATTTTTTAGAATCTCTGCACCCCAGTTAACGATCGATTACTAAATTAGTTGACAATTATTTCTTGTTAAGAAACACCTACAGATGCTTTAGGATGGGTTTATGGACTTAAATGAAGTGAAATTGTGTTTAATTGATCTTTTCTGTGATTTTTGCTTCAGGAAGGCAACGCTCCTCAGGGTGCCGGTCACGGAGTCAAGATCTCGGAGCCACAGAAAAAGAGCAGTTTCTTCCGCTGCAGCTTGCTCTGAGAGCCAAAGCTATTCATGCTGGCAACAAGCTGGCTGGACACAACTTGACTGTCTTTGCTCTCAGCACTTCCTCCTCTTTTTCCTTATTCTTCCCAAACATTGCCTCTCCTGCTCTGCAAAAACCACTGTTGTCAGTAGTGGGAGGACTTCCCCTCCTCTCTTCCTTTCCTGAAGGCTTCCAGAGGTTCGTCGCTTCCATTTTTAGAGGATAACTTGTCTTCATTCTCCACAGCTTTTAACCAACAGAGGTCTCAAACCTGAACACGATCCACGTTCTCTGTTACAAAATATGGGTTTTTTTCATTTCTCCCAGCCAGTAGCAGAACCAATGACAGATGACGCGTACATCATTACAATATTTTTGAATTGGAAACTATAAAATGTGTTTTGATCCATTTTTGACATCACTATTTGCTTATTTGCTTCGTGTTGCTGAACAGAGACTGATGTCCCAACCTTCAGTGAAACACCAGTTGCACTTTTTTCATATCAGCAGCTGAAGTCATATCACGGTGCATAAAGTCCATTTAAAATCAGTTGGAAGGTTCTTTTCTTTTGTTCTCTTTCATTTTGTTTCTTGTTCTTGACAATCATCTGATGTGACTGAAAATTAGGCTTTTCTTAAGCCCTGATCACTGCCGCCAAAATCTTTTTGCACTAGCCTCCAAGTGTCTGCAAAACACAGTCTGGGTTTTTATCAGTCCTGCTGTCCAAAGTTTAACTGAAAATAAGAGGTGGCAGATTTCTGTAAAGGATTCCTGAAGTAGTAACCCGTATAGAGAGAAGACTCTTAATCTAAACTAGTGTCTGGTTTTCTTTTAAGGTCTAACCTGTTAAAGATATACAAAAAAAAATCAGATCAGACTTTTAGGTATTTGATCTCCCATTTAAAGAACATATTGGTTGGTCTCTTAATAATAATCTTCAGACCAATCTGTATCTTAACTTTTTTGAGACTGTTTCATGTTGTAGAAATGATATTGTTCTTCATATTGTTAGCAACTTTAGCTTCCATTCATCCCAGGGGGGAAATTTAAAGAAAAAGAAACATCAGTTAAATAGCTTAAAAAGGTCTAAATGGATGCAATTTACTTAAGACTGGATTATGCAGTGTTGTATAATGTTGCTTTTTAGCGGGAAACAAAAAAAAAAACATTCAGTCCTTCAGATTGGGTTGCATTATCATTTAAAAAGGCTAATCCCAAAAAAAAAAAAAATAAATTTTCACACTTTTTATTTACCCCAAGAAGTGATCTCTCATATTATTTAGGTTATGAAGGAAACGTTATAAATGAAAGTGGACATCTTCTGTTTTTTTCCTCTCCAAACGTCACCTGTATTAAAAATCTTAATAGCTGGTTAAAGGTGAGCGTGAAGTTCGTCACCATTGGACAGATTACTGTGTATAAATAAATATTTACAATTTTAGAAAAAAAGACTATTTTATAAAACAAAAGTACAGAAATAGAATATTTATTCAATATGTTATCTCTGGTGGTGGAAAAATAGATATCACTGCATCTTTTACTTCATTTTGGTGTGGAGATATATTCTGTGTTGCTTCCTTTGTATGAAAATCCAGCTTCAGCAGCAGAGTTCCTAACAGTTTGTTCAAAGCACAAAAGCCTGTATGACTTTTGTTTCTTTGCTAACTTTTAGCATCATAGCACATGTGTATTTGCATTAGTTTTTCAATAACAAGGTCTTTAGAAGAGAAACAGCTTAACTGTGGACACCAGGTCCTTTCCAATATATGCTTGTGCCTGAAAGTTTATGTACCCAAACATTAAAGGCAGAAAACAAATATTTTATGAAATTATCATTTATTTATCTCTAGTTTCAGTTTTGGGTTATTTGACTAACTAGTGTGAATTTATCAGTTTCTTTCGTGGGAGGGTGTGTAAACTTTCAAGCAAAAATATATGTGTTTGATCCAGTTTAAAGTATTTTAGTCTTAGGAAGTTTTGGATCATCATGGAAGAGTGAATCAGCTTCTAACAAGTCAGCTGGTTTTTCATAATCTCTTGGTTTATCAGTTTTTCCTCTCAATCATCTCTTCCATGTTTTAGACCTAACATCAGTGATAGCTGCTAAGATTCACGGTGAGCTACACTGGATGCAGAAGTACTAAAAAAGTTGAGGTAGCCTCCAACGGCCCGTTTCAGTGGATTGATTGTTGCTCAATCTTAATCCCATCAGACCAAAGCACACCGCTCCATTTAAAAGTCTCATTAGATGGCGATGTTGGTACAGATTCTGCTTATTTAGACATGCCTTTCCAATACAACCGATTGGCCTTAACATGGTTTGTTAGGGAGACGGTGCTCAAATTAAATGGTTGAATCACCTCTAAACTCTGCTGAGATGATCTTCCTGCATTAGTTTAGTTTATTTCTTGCAGCTTTCTTTCCTTGGGGTGTCCACAAACGAGGCACTGGAGGCTCTTCTAACAATCAAATGATGTCTCTGATTATTAGATGTCATTAAGGTCACCATGTTTCCCATCAAGCTCTTCCAGCACTTTATTATTAAATAGTGTTGTACGTGTAGTCCGTGCCAAGTGATAGCGTCACCATATAACAGCACAGTGTTGACCTGTTGAGTATTTGCATTATAAAGGAAATGTATTACCCCAACATTCACAGCACCAAGTCATCCAGTATCGGCATACTGTAAACTTTCACTTTGTTTCCTTGTATATTTTCTCAAATGTTTTTCCAGTATGTAGGTAAAGAAAAGATGTTTAAAGCTAAAACCTGACAATTCCTTTCATAAAAGTAATGTTTGCGCTCTGCTAACATCAAAGCAGGTCAGAATGAAGATGGTTTCTGGTGTTTTCTCTTTAGTTGTAGCCTTCATGTTCGATGGCTAGGTGGCACTATAGGAACAGAGGGCCTCTTGGCTTTACCACGTAAACAGAAATTGGAGCAAGAGTTTAATTTAACTTGCAGGAAAAAAAAAAGGCCAGTTAAGTGATTGTGTTATTCTCAATATTTTCCTTTGAATCTTATTACCTCATGTTTGCTTTCCGATGCAAGTTTCTTTTCTGGAAACTACATCCACAATATTTTTAAAGGCATTTTTATGGTTTGGTTGCATCTTTTTTTTTTTTTTTTTTTTTTTCTCCAAGGATCAAAAAGATTTGGGACCTCGTGATTATAAGGACCATTTGTTTTAACTGTCAGTTCTCACAGCTGAGCTATGCATTGTAAATCTTGGACCTTTGCTTACTTGTACACCTCTACTATTGAATTCATGGGCTTTGTTACATTTAAAGGTTGATGATTTCAACCTTTAACCAGATAACCAGATTTTAAAGCCTTTTTTAATTATTTTTTTTTAACATTGCTGTTCTATTGCTTGAGTAATATGAAAGCAAAGCCATAGAGAGCAGATGTTAGGGTCACAATCTGTTTTTGTTTTTTTGGACTAATGCTTTTTTTTTTTTTTAAACCTTTTCTTAAAATAAGATCCCATGTTGTAATAAAGCAAACATATTGTAAGTGGTTACGTTTTCATTCTGTATGTTGGGACATTCACAGGGAGAAAAACATAAATATCATTGAAAATTAAAAAAATCTATATAAACTGTACTGTACTTTCTAAACCCATAAGAGATGTATCTACACTGAACTGTAGATATGTGTACTTTTGATTTAATAAAAAAAGGAGTGAAAATGGTTTCCAGTGTTTGATCTTACCCCGACCACATGATCAGTGGTTGACCCCCCTGCTAAAGCTTTGCTGTTTTCAGGACAAATGTAACCAAACCCCTCCTGATGCAAAACAAATCTGCTGTCGAGGGTCCTAAGTATTGTCAAGTTAAACTAACAATCTGAGTTGAATATTTTGGTCTTTTTTTTTACTATCTCCATACATCTGTGGTTCATTTTATCCATCTTGGTGCTAAATCCCATTCACTTGTGCTTAAACATTGATCTCTACTCAGAGAAAGAACTTTAGCTTAGAGCTTCCCCAAAGACACCGCTGATAGGAAATGGGACATATTCAAAGTTTACACAATATTTAATACACAAAGCAAAAAAAATGTGATTTTTTTGATGCAATATTTGTGTTTGAAGACATTACTATGCACAGGTTTGCTATATGGTTTGTTTACCCATTTTCAATTAATTTCAATTATGAAAAGCAAAAAATAGTCAAATATTTGAACTCTATTATTTCTGATGTGTAATGTTTAACTCATCTGTTAGTAGGTTATCAACCTACTAACTGTACATCCTATGCATATTGGACTGTTGGGACGTCCATCTAAAAGAAAAAAAAGGATAAATAAACACATGTGACTGAGAGGAGTCATTCCTGCTCTTTGGAAGAATCATTTCTTTTCAAGTTTGGCAAATCTTGAGAGTAAAAAAAAAAAAAGTGGACTGTTAATGAAGTTCATCCTAATTAGACAATTACTTGTTCTTCAGCTGAATAAACTCTGGATGTGACGGTGCACATTTTTTTCTGTGGTATTTTCAATTCATCTTTTTAGGGTTTTGCAAGCAGCTGTGAAATAAAATGTTTTGACTTAATATTTAGTATTGTCATGTAAAGTAACAACCACAAGGGTCAATGCATTGCATTGAATTTACCAATACAGCATATTGAATAACTGAATTAAATCTTTCTCATAGTCACGGTGCCGGCAAGTGATATTATTTGTATCAAAAACTTTTTCTTCCTCTCCCACTAGGATTACTGCTTTGCATTGCTCACTTCATGAGTGGATAGTCTAAAGCAGGAACGTACAATTAATTTCTATCTTTTTCTTTAAATTCATTTTTCTTTAAATTCAGTTTTTACATTCTATATCATAAAATGTATTGATTTATACATTTGTTTATATGCCAAAGCATATTTCTGTTTTATTTCATATATATTAAAACAGTAGTTTGGCAAACTTCAACATAAAAGCACGTAGGCCTACAGTGTATATAAAGAGCATAAAACAGTGCCTCAGCATGAAAACCTATATTCTAATGTTTGACAGCGTCTTATATCATAAACATGTGAAAATCAAGTACAAATCTGGTGAGCATACAGCTTCCTGTACAGATGCATGCACCTGGGGAACCTAACCGCGTCAGCTCCATTATATATATATAGAAACTTTACTAAAACAGAAACATCCACGTTTTCTACTCGCCTTTCTGTAGTTTTTTCTGCATGCAGTTTTTTTTTTGTTAATCTGTTTTTTTTTTTAATACAGCTCAAACTTATTTTTTATACTTAGTTTATAGCTCCATGTTAATTTGCAACATCTGACTGCATTAATCAGCTTAAATGTGTTTGAATATTGACACACAAATGTTTATAGTATGAAAAGATGTTTTTTCTGATCCAAACTATCACTTAGTTACAAACCGATGCAAAATGTGTTGTCTTTTTCCCTATTGGTATTTATAACAGATCTTGACAAAAATACAAAGATGACTTGTTCGGGGTTATTTCCTCTTCTTTTGATGGTAATCATTTATTTAAGTAGATGGTGAATCCAAACATCAAAAAATGAGATCACTTTTATTTGTGGTTAGAGAGCTTTATTCCAAATACTTCTTAACAAAAAATAAATTTATTTCAGCTGTGAGGATAGAGAGAAAAAAAGAAAGCATCAGGACAGACAGGGGAAGGCTACTGCTTTTGTCTAATATCAGGCAGAAATGTGGGAGCAGCTATCTAATACCAAGTGATTCATTTCTAAATATTATTTATATAGAAACAATACACTAGCAAGATTTGTCATTTATTTACTAATATTAAATATTGCATGTCTGACGATGGGACTTAACCGAGCCAGTTTTTTTAAACATCCCTCTGCTAAAGTTAAGCGCAGAGCCTCAAGGAGCAGACTTGGTCTGTACTTTGATTTTATAGATGGACTGATTCTTTTTGGTTTTTAACAATTCCTTTAGATCCTCATCCCATGTTGTTTTAAAGCAAACATATTTTTAGTGGTTATGTTTTCAATCTGGCTTTTAGGACAGAGGTCTTCAACAGGGGGTCCGCGGCCCCTAGGGGGTCCCGGAAGGCACTGCATGGGGGTCTCGAAAGTTTTTGCTGATTAGACTTTTTTTTTTTATTCCCCACTGCAATTTATTACACTAATTGACATGTCTTTAAATCCACATTACCGTAACATGAATTCAACACACTGTAAACAGATAAATGGAGGCAGAAGATGTCTTTCAGTCATCAATGCACACATTCAGTGACACACAGAAGCTCTTTCAAGCTGGTCACCGTTTCATTCACAACACCTGTCCCATCAACCAGGAAACTGAATCAGAAGTACTTTGATAATTCCAGGGTGAAATTACTTTCATTACATTATTCCATCTGTAATAGAGTGACTATAGGACAAGTTTGATATAACACAATTTCATACAGTATATATAATTAGGAGGTCCCTGCTCCATCTCACCATCAGTTTGGGGGTCCTTGGCCTGGAAAACGTTGAAGACCCCTGTTTTAGGACATTCACAGAAAGCCCATAGGAACTCTGGAAAGAGGCTTCCCAGCATCCGCTGCAGGACCAGCAGGTTCTGCAACAGCTTTTTCCCTGCTGCCATCAGACTGTTGAACTGTTAAACTCTAAACTGGACTCTGCATCACACCTGCAACATTATTTTGCACCACCGACGTCGCTGAAACTTTTATAATCCTTTTAAATAGGACACAACCTAATGTTATACAGCATTTTGCACCATATTCATTTTGCACTACACTGAACGGTTCTATATTAAAGCCCTTTTGCACCATTATTTTTTAAACTGGTTTTCCTTTTCTCCCGTACTTTTTACAAAAGGATCACAGGTGCATTTTTTAATGGTAATGATTATTACACTGTTTTAAGCTGCTCATTTCACTGTTTTAAAACTGTAGCGAACATATACACTTGGTGTATACAAAATGACAATAAAGTTTATCTAAGTCTAAGAAATGTATTTTCATTGGTTACCTGAATGGACAACCAATAGGTGACCTTGTGCTGAAGCTTTGCTGATTCATTCACCCCCCACTAGCCCACAGGGAGCCACTGGAATATTCGGCTCTTTTATATTCAGTGTAACCAAACCCTTTAACGACAAAAACAAATCTGCTGTTGATTGTCATAATTAATGAAGCCCATGGCAGCTGATAAGCTGGCCGTCCACCTGCTGATGCTGGGCTGAGTTGACATTTATTTAGGGTTAAAAATATTCACTATATGACAACAATAAGTCATTTCTGAGAAAGTCCACATTTGTTCTGCAGTGCTTCCAGTCCATCTGTATTCAAGCCATCAGGAGGCACAGCTGGTTTCCTCAGATCCGTATGTGGAAAGTGCTGTGAAGCAAAGATGTTTAGATGTAATATTTATGTTTTTTTATTGGAACAGTAATAACTACAAAGATCCATGCAGTTTATTGGGATTGTATTAACCAGTGCAACGTAGTGCATGACTTTAAATTGGAAGAACTGGAAGCTCAAGGAAGCCTTCTACAAATAAAGTGTGGCAGCAGTTTGCATGGAGGATAGCTGGTTGATTTATGCTCTTATCAGGTTTTCTCTCCTCGAGACAATTCCTGCCCTTTACCAAAGAGCTCTGGGTCAGCGTGGGTGGAGAACATCTGTAAACATCCATATTCAAGTCTTTCTCTACACCTGGGTTTGGTTCTGGACTTTGAATAGGCTTGCAGTAATAAATCATTTTGTACCAAAAACATTCAGTGTATCTATGAACAAACATTAAATCCTCATCATGCTGGAAGGTAAACCTCCACTCTGCTCTCAAGTCTTTTACAACGTTAAATGATTTTTTAAAACAAATCTGCATTAAGCTCCTTCCATCTTCCTATCCTTGTTGTGTCCCTCCCCCTAAAAGAAAATCGCAACCATTGGATGATGAGTTGATGTCTGCCACTTTGTCTGTAGCCCTAAATTGGGGCCTTGCATTTGCTCAAAGAAATGTTTTGAAACAGAAAAATTGAATTAAGAATTCCCAAAAAATAACAAAATAGTTTCTTAAAATATTTTCTGTTTTTTTTTTACTGTTTAATATCCTTGTTTTGTCTGCTTCCTGTTTTCAGTCAGATTATCTTTTATTTGATAATTTTTATTTTCTGAGCATAGCTTGGGGGCACAGATTTAGCAGCACAGTTTTCTGCAACACAGTGCATATTGCATATTGCATTGAAACCCTCACAGAACAGCAGGCAGGATGTATAGCAAACTAAATTATCATGACCTGGCTCTTATTATTTAATCACCACACTGAAGGCAACTGGTTGCACTGGATTTCATTATCAGTATCACATGCATACAAATTCCCTCTACTCTGTTCAGGTTCCTTTTATTATTTTAATTTTAAATTTTGAAAAACATGATTAGTATTCCTTCCACTCCACAGTTCTTAATTATTTAATATTTGTTTGATGAATCACACTGAAGCTCAAGATGTAAAAATAATTCAAAGGGCGTGAATACTTTTAACGCCACTAATACCTGAGGAAATCTGGAGCTCTGTTAATCATGTTTTGGAAATCCTCAAGCGACAGGCGTCCATCGTTGTCCAGGTCAGCCTCGTCGATCACCTTCTCACACACCATCTTCACCTCGTCTTCTGTCAGCTCGTTGCGAGTGAGCTTGTTCAGCGTCTTCTCTAGGTCTGACTTGCAGATGAAGTCGTC